GAGAAAAAGGTTCCTGTGTCTGATTGGCTGGGCGGAATGCAAACCACGCCCCGTCAAACTCCCAAAAACGTTTGTGAAGCCGCCATTTTATTAGCATTATTAGCATTAGCCCAGCGCAGAAACGCAGAGAGACTAACTTATGTCCACACAAAATAAAACATGGGAGCGGTGGAGATGACGAGGTGTCGGCGTTCTGGCCGTTTACTCGGAAGGCTTCAGTAGAAGCTGCTGGGAGTCCCAGCAGCTTCTACTGAAGCCAGTCCCTAACTCCGGGGACTTCCGGCCGGGGATTTTGGGCGGCAGTATACGCCGTGAACTTGTTTGCGGCTTTCCAGTAACCCGGCCGGAAGTCCCCGGAGTTAGGGACTGGCTTCAGTAGAAGCTGCTGNGGAGGAGGTGGTGAGGCTGCCCTGGATGCCCGCCTTGTGTTTACCTTGGCAGGGCTGCACCCCCCCAGTCCGCTGCAGGAACAGACCAAGGCCTTATTGCCCCCCCCCCCCCCCCCACCTCAGCTGGAGCGGAACATACCACAGCGGCCGAACGGGGGCGTTTGCAACCACCCCACAGACTGAATGGACTCACTGTGAGAGGGAGAGGGCTGCTTGGCTTTACCTCGCTCCTGAATGCCTCGTACACGTTATGAAGTGGCCTCAGTTTAAATCAGGGGTGTCCAAACTTTTTTCACCGAGGGCCACATACAGAGAAATATACGAAGGGCTGGGCCGCTCACTAGAGGTATATCGCCTCATAAGTTCAGTTATAAGTTAGCTCAATCAAATGTAGGTAAATGATGTGAGTGTTGGCAGCTCATCCCTTAAACCAGAAGCCTCAGATTGATTATCATAAGGAGAAATAGGAAGGGTCTATTTCACGCTTGTTATCTAAATAAGTCATTGGACTTTTTTCTTATCAACTAAGATATGTTAGAAAATGTACATATTAAGACAAGCACAAGTTTCATTTGTGAGCCATATTCCATTATACTTTTTGAATTTGCTGAGGGCTGATTCAAAATGGTCCGCGGGCCACAGTTTGGACACCCCTGGTTTAAATGGTGCATTCAAAGAGTGTCTGCTCAGTGATGGGATCGTGACAGCAAGGAGACGTGGTTCTGGTTGGCTCGCTCTGAGATGTGGGGACTGGGGAGAGGTTTTTTTCCTGGCGTTCTCCGTGTTAATACATCAGGAGAGTGCAGTTTCCTCGACTCTGACATAAGGCATTGTAATTCCATGTAAAAGAAAATAGTACTCATTGTTTATAGGCAACCAGAACCAGAACCAGTGCACGACACGTCCAACAGTACCGCCGACCAGAAATAATAATGTTATGTAAAAGAACATATGACACATTGTTTTTAGGCAGAAGTACAACCAGAATGACTGCTACAGAACAGAAAGCATTAATAATGTACTACTAGATATCCTCTATGGATGACGATTATCACTTGATCTAAAAAGAAACATGAAACTCTAAACCTTTTGGAGACTTTTTTTGGCAAGTATTTGAGTTTTTCTCCTGGCGTACTCTGAGTTAATACATCATGAGAGTGCAGTTTCCTCGACTCTGACATAAGGCATTGTCATTCCATGTAAGAGAACATAGTATTTTTAGGCAACCACATCGACGAATACAGAACAGAAAGCAGTGACAGTTTGTAAGTGAAACTAAACACTAAGTAAACCTACGTACGTTTTCTTTCAATAACTGTAGGGGAAACTGTACGTTACCTAGGAACAGTCTTGATAAACGCAACAAGCCTGAATGGACATGCTGTGCACGACTCGTCCAAAACTACCGCCTATTCCAGAGATAATAAGTGGATGTAAAAGAACATATGACTCATTGTTTTTAGGCAGAAATACAACCAGAAGAACTAATACAGAGCAGAAAGCATTAGATAAACAACCATGACTTTTGTTGGCAAGTGTTACTTAATACCAGACTGAAAAGCCTGGTCTGACTGCATCCTCTCAGTTGAGTTGAGATGTACCTGGCCTGCTGTGGCTGGCTCACGAATGCTAGTGCACATAAGTGGCCAAAGTTTAAATGATGCATTTAAAGAGTCTGCTCAATTATCGGATTGTGGTACGCTCGCTCTGAGGGGTTTTTTCTTAATACATTGTGAGAGTGACGTTCACTGTTTTATATAAACTCCCCCGGAGGCCCATCTTGACTCTGATATAACGCGGTGTAATTCCATGTAAAAGAAGATAGGGCAAAAGTACAACCAGAGTGACGAATACAGAACAGAAAGGATTCCTTATTTACCCGTCCTTGAAACTCATTATCACTAACTTTAGGTGCATACTTTTCTTAACAAGTAGCAAATTAATAGTATAATACCCGACTAAAAACCAACCAAGTCTAAGTTCTGACTCCAACACTGACGCCTGATCAGTGCCCGTCGTCCTGTCATCCAATCCGTATCCTTTTTGGATGAATAGACGTTTATACACAGCAAGAAAATCCGCTCAGGTTTGCAGGAAGAGTACGGATGGGTCAAACTGAAAATACATTCACCAAAAGTCACTTATTTTACCTTGCTTTTGTTAGGCGACTTCTGCAATTAACTAACAGCAGTTATGAACCAAGTGTTTTTGTTTCGCCGAAACAACAATCTTTTCCCGAGGCTTAACCAAGTAGTTTTGTTGCGTGAGTAAACTTAAAAATGTGTTAAACCTCTAGTTTTGTGTTTTGTTTTCATCCGAAGCCCATCACATGTAACAATAGGCGCGTTCACACCAAGTACTTTTCCCACAAAGGTTCCTGAGAACTCTTTAGTTCTCATGAACTAAGTACAGACTGCGTTCACACCGGAAATTAGTTCCTGGGGGTGGATTAGGCAAATGAAGCCGCTAACGTCACTTCTTCTTCTTCTTCTGCTTTGGATTTACTGGCAGGCCGCAAACAACTTCACGGCGTATACTGCCGCCCAAAATCCCCGGCCGGAAGTCCCCGGAGTTAGGGA